CTTGGGGCCTGGGATGGGCACTCGCTGGGCGCCCTGTGCCCTGAGCAGTGCTGGAGCAGGAAGAGGTGGAACTCTCAGAGAACTGGCACGTTCAAAGGCACGGCAGAGCCCAGAGTAACCAGGCAATAGAAAACTTTCACATTTGTCCTGTGCCCTCCTGAAATACCACGTTAACTGCCTGAATCCCACCTGTTTCTCAGGTAAAACACTGTCCTGCTCAAAGATGCATATGGCCTGTAAGTCACTTCTAGAATTTATCTTAAAATAAATGAGGATTTATGCTCAAGGATGATCAGCGTTCGCCACACTCTGGACCCACATCGGATGGCTCTATGGCCTTGAGCTTGTTATTTAATGTCTCTGGGCCTGTAGTCTCACCTTGAAAGCGGGGCCCGTGATAGCACCCGTTCATAGACTAATGTGAGGATTCACTGGGATAATCCTTGTGTGCTGCTTGACAGGGAACCTGGCTCACAGGACGAGCTCAATAACTGTCTGCTGTTATTATAATTAATAGCAAAACTGGGAAACAAGTGTCCAACAGTAAAAGATTGGTCAAATATTATGGTACCGTCATATAGCTGCATATTATACAATTGCCAAAGTGTTTTCTTGAAAACTGTTTAAGAGTACTGTAAAATTATAAGAATGGGTGTTAAAGTGGATATTAAAAAGTTTATATGGTATGGTTCCAACTTTATGATGGAAATAAATACATGCACATTTTAAAAAGGCTGACAGAAGATTTAACAAAAGGTGATGGCAATTATAACTCTGTAGGAGGATTCAATCCTTAAAGCTTTGCAGCTGTTTCTACCTTTTCCCGGTTTTCTACAATGACGACGCGTTATTTCATAGCCAGGAAAAATGATCGATGTGTGTGTTATGGAGAGAGGAGCGCTGGCGATAAGAAAGGCATGAACTCAGCATTTGCAGAGCCTGCTCTGGACGCTACAGCTGGGCCTTCTCAGCAAGCCGACCTTCCCAGGGAGTAATGATTTCCTTTGGTTCAAAGTCAGTCCTGCCTGACTGTCAGGTCCGTTGGGCCACCCTCAGGGACCAGGAGACAGAGAGCTGGCTCCACATTCCTGCCTTTCTGGGGGACCGTGGGCTCGTAACCCCACATATACAAAGAGGTAAGCCACAGTCCCAAGCTCAAGGAGCTCAGAGTTTGTCAAGAGACGGACCAGGAGATAGTGTGGGAAGTAGCACAGTGGAGGCACATGTGTGAAAGAAGTCACAGGAGGGCCTAACCTGTGGAAGGGGGGGCAAGGGGGCCAGGGCTGGGCTCCTGGCAGCCACGCGGCAAATGCAGAGGTAGAAAGGCAACGGCGCACACTGCGATTTTAACCTTGAGGCAGTAGGGAGCCACAGAAAGATCTTCCATAAGGGAGAGGCCTGCTGATGGGGCCCTCAGAAGTCCCTCTGACTGTGAGGCAGACAGTGCACTGCAGGGGCAAGGAGTCAAGATGCAGTCAGGAGCTGTGCGCAGCAATCCAGACCAGAGCGAGCACAGGCTCAGACCAAAATGGGGCTTCAGATGAAGCAGACCTGAGGGGCATGAAGGCAGGAGAATCAAAGGACTTGGTAACTTACTAGATACTTGGTGCGTCCCCGGGACCCCGGGTATGTGGGTGGGACATGCCTCACCACGGAGAATACAGGTGGAAGGACAGTCTGGGGCGGGGACAGGTCATGAAGCTGGATCTGCTGAGTGTGGGGCGTCTGTGGCCAGGTGGTCCGTAGAGAGCACTACATAGAGTTCTGGGGTCAGGAGAGGGGTCTGGGCCGAGGGCGCCAACAGGGCTCTCTCGCGTCACAGGAGTGTATGTGGGCTCCCGAGGGAGACAGTGTACAAGCCTGAGAGGCAAGAGGACATGATGAAGGGAGAGGGGGGCTCACAGGGGGAACGAGTAGAGAGAGGTAGAAAATGGGGGGGCGGGGGGAGGCGGGGAGAGAGAGAGAGAGAGGCTGAGATCCTGGAAGACACGGAACAGGAGGGCTCCTACAAGGAGGCTGGCGTGGGTGGTCTCGGAGCAGCAGAGGCCAGGCAGGTTCACTGTTCAATTTAGGACTAGGGACCCACTGGGACCCTCTGCTGGGACCATTTAGCGAGCTCCTAAGGGGAAGGCCCACGCTCCAGCACTTGCCTGGACCCAGCAGATATTGGACCCAAGTTCACCAAGGGAAGAATGGGATGGGGTAGGCAGGGAGGCCTGGGTGCAGGGTGAGAGGTCAGACTGCAGTGGGCGAGGGATGCCCACTCCCCTCTGTGGGTCTGGGGAGGAGAAGCAGTGCCCCTGGTACCAGACCCCTCCAGCCCCAAAAGGGAAATGCGTGCGGGTCTATAGGTGGTGGGCAGGACCCCAGGACCAATGCCACACGCTGACCCATTGGTTGGGCGGCCTTAGTCCCCCTACCGAGGGGAGCTGGAATAGCAATAAGTCAGCTGCTGGCACGGGAGGGGAGCTCAGGGCATTTGCTGAGAGACAGTGCCACCTAGTGGCAGGAGGCACTCACGCCAGGCTTCTGCTGGACCGCCCCGCCCATCACCAGGACCGCTTCTAGGCCTTCAGGGGCCTTTCATGCTGGGGTCCCGGGCACTGGAAGCAATGATCCAGGGCTTTTGCCACCTGGGCAGCACCGGAGCCTCTGACAGCAGCATGCCTGTGGCATCAGCTGAGGTCGGCTCTACCAACAGAGAAGGTAGGCAGACTAGAATTTTAGCCAAGACCCATTCAGCCCCATCACGAGGGCAGAAACGTAAGGTCCTGCTCTCAGGTTTATGTCTCCACAATGGGAGAGACTGGACTGGTTGCTGTTTCGTTGCTGTTATCATGCGTCTTTGGGGCGTCTTTAGGCTCGTGAGGAGAATAACAATGTACTTGTGAAGCTCTCCAGGGCACAGCTGTCCCCTTCCATCTCTCACAGTCTGCAGAAATACTGGGGCTTCTGCAGTGCATGTCTTCCCATGAGGTTCAGGTCAGATGTGACCATGGAAGTGAGGGGCAGTCTGAAGGGCACCCCAGCAGCAGAGAGTCGCTCCTGCCACCAGCCCCCCAGAGAACCCACACCCTCACCCCGGCTCCAGGTTTAGCTCCATAGACATGCCTGCTGTGAAAACCTCACACTCAGGAGGGCCTGGATTCTGGGGCCCACACGGTCACCCCCACATGCCTGTCACTCACTCCTGACTTCTCAGTGGTTTCAGGCCAGGTGAGGTCACGGTAACCTCCTTAAACAGCTCCACAGAGCACATTTTTATCTTCAATTATTGGTTTAGCACAGTGAGATAAAAAGTTCTCATAAAGATACTTTGTAAACTACCTCTTATTACAAAAGAAATGTGTGTACAATGTTTAAAAACTAGTTTTACAAAAATGTGTGACTTTTTGGAAAGTGCAAGTTTCTTATATAGCTCTACCTTCTATCAAAATTTCCTATGTGACAGCCTGGTATATATTCTTTCGGCTTTCTTTTTCTATACACGTCCATGCCTGAGTGTGTGTGTGGGGGGGAGATGGGGGGTATATAAGTATTGTTGTTTTCTGTACTGACATACAACGCTACAGCTTATTTTGACTTTTTCCATGAAGAACATTCTTCTAGAGGCATTCTGACCACCCCAGCTCAAATTCAGGTTAACTCAGTGACCCAAGACCAGGCTGGGAGGAACGCACATGGCCCAGGGACTCAGAAACCTGAGGTTTCAGGAAGGTATGTTTCAGCAGCCAGGGGAGAGGGGCCCATGTTAGAGGCCCAGCGCAGCCTGGAAGAGAAAACTATCCCAGGAGGGGGCAGGGGGGGCAGACTCCACCGCCCTCATCTCCTCCGCAGCTCTGCCGACAGTGCAGCCGGTACAGAACAGGCTGCCACAGGAGTGTGGCCCGGGCAGACGAGTGGCTGTCCCAGGGAGCCGCCCGAGCCATCGGGACATCCTGTACGTTTCTGCTGAGTTGGGCGCACAGGCTGGGTCACACCCAGCGTCAGAGCTCGGGAACTGGGCCCTGTGCCAGGGCAGAGCCCTGTGACATCCAGGAGAAAAAGGGCAGCTTCAAGACAAGCAGCCCTGTGTGCCAGATCTGCTCTCCTCCTCGGCCTCACGGAGGGCCAAACACACCCCAGAGCACTCTGCTTAGGGGAGCCCCCTCACGTGGGACACGCCACAGGATGCACTATTTTAAGACCCATAATCAAACTAAGTGTAATCAGAACAAAAGGAGAGGACCAGATGGAGATGCCGGTCAGGATATGTGCTACAGGGTCAGGCTAAGGCTCCCAGAAAGGGAGAGCCCCGTACGTGCCCGGCAGCCTCCTGCTGCCCCAGGACAGACAGTGACGGACCCAGAGCCCAGCTCCCGGGCCAGGCTGCAGGTCTGCATCCTGGGCCCCTGGTAACTGGCTGCATGACTAAGGGCAATAACTTGTTGCTTCTGAACCCAGTTTCCTTGCCGACTAAGTGAAAGTAACATAGCTAACTCCAATTAAATGAAATGAAGTATATCAAGCGCTTAGCACATGCCTGCTAGACAATATACTCAAATGTCACCCGCCACTGTTATTATGATTGGTTGAGGGCACCCCCAAAAAGAAGTAACTCCCTGGGACACACAGAGCCTTCCAGGGCCAATTGGGCCTCCCCTCTGGGCCCAGCCACCAAGAAGCCTGCACCCAGGCCAGGTCCTAGCACACAAGGGCAGTTTTGCTGTCCCTGGACACGGCGCTGGGTGGGCAGGGGTCAGGCTAAAGGTTGAGGAAGGCAACAAGCAGAGCCTCTGCAGTCACGGGGCCCCCAAACACCTCCATTTCTTGCCTCCTCCAGGATGAGACCAGGCAGGAGATTCCTGGGGCTCCCACTAGATGCGACCAGTGCCTGGGGCTCAGCAGTGGTGGAGGGAGCTGCGGCCCCTCCCTCCCTGCCTCTGTCCCCAGGACAGCACCCCGCAGGAGGGCTGGGCTATGCTTGTAAAGACACCACAATCGGGTGGCCCTCGACTCACCCTGGTCGATGGAGTGCTGTGGCAGCTGGCTCAGCTGGCTGCTGACCACCCCCGCGTAGGTGCGCAGGAATTCCTCCTCGCTGGCCGTTAGCTGTAAGGGCGAGAGAGCTGCAGGTGAAGGGCGGACGAACGGCTCCCGAAGGCACCTGCCCAGGCCTGCATGAGCCTCCTTTGCTCCCTGGGCCTCTGTTCCTGAGATTTGACCCCTCCGTTCCAGAGCAAGCACCCCCTCCCATCCCTGACACTTGTTCCCCAGGTCCCACAGGCCTTGCCACTGAGACGGCCAAGTGCAGCGCAGCGCCTGTAGGAAGACGCAGGCCCTGCCTGGAAAAACATCCCTGTATGCACACGTGCTGCCCTCTGGGTGCTCGAGCTGCCCAGTGCCCCTTGGATGTATCCCTGGGAAAGAAGACTCTCGGCCAGTGGGAGAGGGGAGGAAGGGAAGGCTGGGACCGTTAGAGCTCTTACCCAACCGGCCAAAAGTTGGCACAGGGGTGGGAAGACTGCCCCGGCAGGGTCCCCGGAACCAGACATGCTGGGCTCTGTGCCACATGAACTAGCCACAGAGCCAAACCACAGGCGCGGCACGCCCCCTCCCCGACCACGACTGCTACAGGGGGTGGCCGCAGCCCCTGCTCTGCCCGCAGCACGCACCCTCCCTGGGGCCTGTGGCGCAACGCCCCACCGGCACTCACGTTTGACCCCATCTTTCTCAGCATGAGCAGCACGCGGACCTTCTGCTGGATGTACATCTCCTCCGGACTCTTCCCGGGGGCCCCCTCGCGGTTCATCCCCTGGCCAGCTCTGGGGACTCCTGCAGAGCGAGGAGAAGCATGGCGAGGGGGGCGGCGTCAGGATGAGATATTCCCAGAGAGAGACAGGGTGCTTGGCCGGAGTTGTCAGGCAGCCCACTATGCTGCAGGGTCTCGTTTCTGAGCCCAGAGCAGGTGGGGAGTTGCCTGTTCCTCCCTGGCCCCCAGTGGCCCCAGCCAGACCGAGCAGCTAGGACCGAGAGCAGGCATGGCGGCCCCTTTCTGCACAGAGCTGTGGGCCCGGGTGGACGGAGCTGATTCAGGCTTCTGGCCAGCTCTACCTTCCAGCCGCCCCCGCAGCAAGGCTCTGGCTACGAGCCACAAGGTGTGCTACGTGACCCCAAAGTAACCCAGGTTTTCAAAACAAGCAACGTCCACAAGGAGCAAAAGGGACATGATCAGAGGCAGCTGGCTAGGGCCTTTGTGGGAGAAGCTGTGAAGTCAGTCCCCAGCCCTCAAACCCCAAGACAGCTCTCTCAGCGAGAGCCCCTGACGAGTTCAAGAGGCCAGCTACTGGGCTGTGCTCCAAGGAGTCCCGCGATGGGGACAGTTGGGCCCGGGGCTGTGGAGCACAGGCACCCACCCAGGCTCACTGCCACCGCCCTCATGGGCTCACCCCACCTGTCAGAGGCAGCTCCTGCAGGCAGCAGGGACCCGACCTGCAGAAAGGTCCCAGGAGAGAAGTCCCAGGGTCTCCCCTCCTGGAGGAGCCGGTGGAGAGGAAGCCAGGCGTGGAGGAGTTTAGGTTACATATTTGTAACTCCTGGATGAGTCAGAAATAACGCAGCAGCTGGTGGGGTGGAGCCTCAGCAGCCCTGGTGCCAAGGAGCTGTGCTCGGAGGACCAAGGGAACGGGGCTGGCGGGCCTGGGACAATCCTCACACCATCCATCCCTCAGGGGCCAGCAAGCTCTGGACCAGCAGGCTCTCCCAGGCAGGTGGCTCTCCTGGGAAGGGCGGCAGTGGCGGGGGGGGGGGTTCTCCATGCAAAGGGTGGACTCAGAAATACGCCAGAGCCCTGAACAGCAGCTTCCCTGGAGAGCCACTGTCAACTGCTCAGTCCCAATAAGCAAATAGGGGCCCAGGTGCTAAAAGCCCACACAATAGGCCCAAAAGCTGGCAAATTGGGGCTTCAGTAGCAGCTGTATGCTTGATATGACAGGGCCTCCCTTTCCACCATGAAAGCCCCAGGCTTCCTAGTCTACTGCCTGCCCCCTTCCACCTCCTCCAGGTTCAGAGAAGGGCCTAACAGCTGGGATCGGGGAGAGACTGGTAATCCGCCTCAAAGACGATCTGGCATAAGGCGGCCCCCGCCATCCCCGGGCCTGGTGCACGGAGGCTGCGGACAACCCTAACTTCCTAACACAGCTGAGTGGGAAAGCTCTGTTCTGGGTTTCACTTCTCAAATTGAGCTCTTCGCACTGCCTTCCCCTCTGCCACCCCACCAGGGTGGTCTTTAAAAAAAGCCAGAACAGAAGACATCACTCCTTGCTTCACCCTACCTCAGAACACACCTCACAATCCTTGACAGGACCCCACGAGGCCCCGCGCAGGGTGGGGGTGGGGGCGGGGGGTCTGCTTCCCTCTCCTACTCCTCCCCTTGCGCTCTGCCTTCCTGGCCCCGGTCTGTTTCTAGAACGTGGCAAGCAGCTCTTTTCCCCCAGGCAGCCTTTGCACTGAGTGTCCCCTGGGCCTGGAGCTGAATTCTTTTTCATCCTTTGTCTCACTCAAAGACGCCCTTCCAGGAAGCCTTTCCTGACAGCAAAGCCAAAGCGAGGTTGTGCGTATCCTCCTCCCCACTCCCCCTCCCAGCTCCTCCAGGCACCGAGCCCTGTCTCGCCCCAGCCTGACAGGAAGGCCAGGGCCACGTGTGCTTGGGTCACCCTGTCCTCCTGCAGCCCAGCACCATGCCTGACAGGTGCTTAATAAACCGCCCAGGTGGTATCTAAGCTGCCCCCTGCCATCCACATCAGCCACATCAATTTAGGGCCAACTCGCATCGTGTGGAAACAGACCAAAGCACCTAATCCAGTCTCCGGAACCAGACCGAGCTTTTCCAAAGGCCTCTCATTCCTGAGTAGTTTGTGTGCCAGGGGCTAGCGTGTTCTCCAAAGGACATCTGAAATGCTTCATGAAGCCTTCAAACAGAGAGAGGGCTTCCAGAAGGAAAATCTCCCAATTCTGTACTGAGTCAAGACAGCGTGGAAGATGACTGACTGGCCACTAGGTGTCGCTACATACAAAAGAACCAGAGCCACTGCCAGGCCTCCCCACAATCCAAGAGGCCCATCTGGCTCAAGCCCTTACTCTGATCCTACGGTCACAAACCACACCCCAGTCCCAGGTCCCAGAGAAAGATCTATTCATTCATTCATTCATTCACTCACTCATTCATTCATTCATTCAGGGGGCCAGCTCTATCCAGGCAAGGGTACGTATCTGGTTTTGCTGCACATCCCAGGAGCTAGGGGGCTCCTGGTGGCATTGTAATTGGGAATCCTTCCTCACTGTCCTTTCCTGACCAGCCAAGTTTCCTCCAACAGAGACGCAGGCTCAGAACCAACAGGAGAATATATGTGTGTGAGTGTGTATGTGTATGCATGTGCACACACCATGAATCATTTATATGAGACCTATTTTACAGAATTTTGCTCTGAACAAGAAGCCCATCCCAGGCACCCCGTACAGTTCGGTGTCGTTCTATCATTTTTGGCCATCGCAGCCTTGCGGTGCCCAGACACCTCCCATGCTCATGCTGTGATTACCAGGTGGGGGGCTCACAGGCTGTCGTGGGTGCCTGAATGCATCCTTGGGGCCAGGCCACTGCCACTTCAGCACAGTTCCCTGGCAGAAACTGATGCTCAAACTGTTTCTTCTTGCTTCGGGGAAGACTCTTGTCACTTCTAAAAAGTATGGTCTTCAAGGATTCTCCCAGCTCTCGTTTGAGCTGATTCCGCCCTGCCTCCTGACAGAGGGCACACCCAGGGCTGGATCTGGGCCTGAATGTGGCAATGAGCACACAATCCCACCTACGCACCCCCATCCAAATGGACTAGACCTTCACGACTGGTTTACATAATCCTATCTTAAACAAAATCTGCGTCAAGGGTGTCGGTGTGAAGAAAATTAATAATCAATGAGAAGAAATCATAACAACCCAAACAACAGACATTTCAGTTGCGGGTGTGCTACAAGGATATTAAAGTAGTTTCGGGCTGGGTGCCTGTCTAAGAAACATGCTATTAAATTTTTATCACAATTCTGACAAGCATCAGATTAACTTCATTTGAGAATTCTTATTCTCCCCTATAGGATCAAGAACTGGTTTCCAACAAAATGTGTTTAAATTACATAAGTCCAAACTGAAACTAACAGACACACCGATTATTCAGGCCTCAGCCATGAGAGCCAAAAGTAACGATGCTTCTCGATTACAGCCTCCAGGCGAGCCCCATAAACATCCCATCGCCTAACAGGGTGGCGCTTCCTTTCTTAATTCTAAGAAAATCTCTGTGTTAACTGCCCAAGTCAGAGACAGACCTGTTTCCTCTCTTAAGATACAACATTCTGGAAGCTAACTAGGGAAAGGCATAGATGAGCTAAAGAATGGAAATGAAAAGAAACAGACAGCTATCAACCATCTAAATGAATAGTGACGGGAGAGGCCTGTGGCTATCTATCACACCGTAGATATCCATGTGTTATGCAAAAAGTGGGGGTGATTCCAGAAAACTACATCTGATTGGGACTGATGAAATGAGGAGAAACTGAGGTACATACATGCGCTGCAGACACACAGACACATATCTTCCCCACCCCCCACCCCCCCCACCCCTACACACACACTCCTGATGGCTCTAAGCCCTCATCTGTTAAAGGAAGGTTGACTGGTTTGGACAGTGAGAAAGGTGCTCCCAACAACTAGTCAGGATCCCAAAGTGACAAATGGGACCCGTGGCCTGAGGGGCCACACTGCGTTCTCTGGGAGACGTCCTGCCCAGTCTCTGCAGGAACCTGATCTCTGCCAGCACATGAAGCGGCTGATCTCATTCTAGAAGAATCGGGAGGTAGCCCAGGAGGGACCGGGAGAACGGGGCTGCTGAATGGCACCCGTGGGAATCAGAGCCATTCTGATAAACAGCTCTGAAAGCTAGCCTTCCTTTGACCCTGAATGCAGACATAGCCACCTGGACTCATTTTTATTTATAAACGTGAAGCTAATGCCATTTGAACACCTACATTCATATAAATAGGAATATGCACTTATACCGCCGATCTGGTCCTTGCTTGGAACATACTGAGTAACTTCAGGCTGGGCCGACAGCAGGGGTCCTTTAGATACACAAGCCCACTCTGACCCATGGGTCCCAACATGTATCTTTTGTCCATTTAAAAAAAAAAAGTGATCTATTTTAAATGCTCACATTTAAAAGTGTACATTTACATTTGTACAATGTTTACATTGCACAAAAGTACAATGCCATATAACTGTACTAGTCACAGAGCTTCTGTAAAATATTAATTCAGAGACTGCGACACGTCTTAGCAACCTGAAAGGAACCAGCAGTACCATAATTTCACTGTAAGAACCCGCACACCTGAAGGAGAAATGAGCATTATTTGGAAATAGCCCGTGCTAACTTCAGGGCCAGCCTTTGCGCCTGTACCCAAAGTCTCCTCCCCCGCACTGATCAGCAGCATCAAACTGATCGGTTGTCCTTCCCCTGGGGTCCTTACCTGCTTCTGGAAATTAACTTCAGGCAAACAGGTACTCAACTGGGACGAGCAGGCTGTGGCAGGGGAGAAATAGGAAGGTGCGGCCCTGTGGAAACACAGAACACGAGTCATGGGAGGAGCCAGCAGCGCCCCACGGCTGCCAGAGCCACACCTGGAGCACACGCCCCATGCTGACAGATACAGGACGGCGGGCAGGAAGCTCATGGCAACAGGCTCTGCCACAGTCCAGAAATACCTGTGTGTCTAGCCTCCCGGGGAACCTGCACCAACATCTCTGGGAGAAGGTGCTGACTGCAGCTATGCTAGCCTATTTCCGGCCAAAGCAGGTCACCACACTCCCTCCCTCCCCTGGGGTTAGTCACCAAGTCCAATTGAGATCTGTGCTGGGAGATGTCATGGACCAGAATGAATCATTCGGGACAGCTGATGGGCAAGTCCCACCCCTGCAGGAGCAGGCGCACCCACACACCTCACAGGAGGCGCCAGGCACAGGTACCTGGCATTCCGCCTCGTCTGTGCCCAACATGCATGATGTCTGTGCACCTGGCATAAGGAAACATACACTGATGCACACACAACACAGCTGCAGATAATTTACAGCCTCCTGGCCTGGCCACATGTCTGTCCACTTCTCCCAAACGCCACTTCCAGGAATCAAAGGACACTGTCTTCTTGTCTTTCACTTCCCACACACAACCTCACCATTCAGGTCCTTTGCAGGTTAATCTGACAAAAGTATGGATCAAACGCATGGAATAGGCAGGGACACAGGGGAGGCAGGCGGCGGGCACCAGGGGGTCTTGCCTGCCCGCTGCAGCAGGGTCATCTCCTTGGCAGTAGGACGCAGACCTCAGGGCGCCTGGGTTAAAGGTAGCCTTCCCGCTCTCAGCCCTGCAGTGAGGACAGAGGCCTGAGGATAATCCTCTGAGAAACATGCTGAGGGAGGTGCAGACCAAAGAGCTTTGAAACCCTCTGTCTTCAGCAATTTCTGCAAAGAAAGCTGCTCGCTCACCCAAGGGGCCAAGGAAAACGTGTTCTCCATAGAAAGTGAGCTTTCAAAAGCCTCCCCTGCAGGTAGACGCCGCTCTTACCTCTGGGTCTCAGGTTCTGTGTATCGCTTTGACTAGCGATGGCCCTGGGATGGAAGAGCCATCGCCCGGCACGGCCACCCCTCCACCCTTCCGAGGACAGGCATGGGCAGTGGCTAATTGCTCTTTTATTCCTCTAGATATCAAAGCACCCAAATACCAAGGACCCCCAGGGAACATTCCACCCAAGTCCCCACGTTCCTTCAAAAAGAGATGAAAAGAAACAACCTCCTTCCACTTTTGAGGGGCTTTAATTTCTCCACCCACCACCACAGCCAATTAGCCTCCTGCTGTCCACAGGGCTAGGCCCTTCCAAGGTGCAGAGAGGAACTCTGTATTTCTGGATGCTGTGGGCTTCCTACTGGAACTGTCCAGGGGCTCACGGCCAGCTGTTTTACTTGTCATTTTCTGACCAGATCAATGTCCCCAATTCACAGAGGAGGAAACCGAGGCTCGACGTCCACAGGGCCCCAGAGCCAGCGCAGGACAGCACGCATGCCCCAGCGGCTGGGCTGTTTTCAGTTCTGTTCTGTCGCTGATCAGCTGACTTGGAGACGGAGAAGAGGCTGAGGGGTGAGAGCGGAAGAGGGGAGGCCAGCGAGGAGGCCATGGCAGGAATCCAGGCAAAAGGAACGCAGTGGCAGTGGGGTCTGGAGTGGGAAGGACATCAGGAGGGCCGGCAGGCGTGGTGTGAAGTGTGAGAAGAGGGGCACGTGACAGTGACTGCCAGGCTTTAGGCTGAACGACTGAAGGCAGGAGTTCCTATCAACCGAGATGGTGGGAGACACACGTGGAGCACTTTTGGGGAAAGACCAGGAGTTGAACTTTAGGCAGCTTAGATCCTTCCCATCTCTGAGCCTCAGTCTACTTAACTATAGAATGGGAGTGACAACGGTACCTGCAAGTACTGTCTGTGAAAATTAAATGAGATACTATATAAAGAAAGCATAGTGCCTGGTACACAGCAAGCACTCGGTAAATTTAGTTACTATTATTAGTGATAAGATCAGAAGGCTACGCAGACAATGTAAGTAAGTGATATTTTCGTTAATAGGATGGGGGTAAAATGAGACAAACAATAAGAATTCAAAGGTTTAAAATACCCCAGCCTCGGGCCAGCTAAGTGGCTCAGTTGGTTAAGAGCTCACTCAAGAGTGCAAGCACTGAGCAACAGGATCACCGGTTCAATTCCCGGCCCGAGCTGAGCTGCCGCTGAGCTGCCAACAGGTGGCCAAGATGGTTCAGCTAAAAAAAAATTAAAATAAAATACCCCAGCTTCCTTTTCTCTCTTCTTCCCTCCCAGTTCAACCGTCAGCCCCCAGCCTGCTCAAGGAATGGTAAGGGGTAAAGGGCTACTGGGGAGCAGGGGAACGTCTTCTACGTGCTGCCTGAATCATCGGTTTCTCATCCTTCGGCATTACTGACACTTTGGGCTGGATAATTCTCTGTTATGTGGAATGTTTAGCAGCATCCCTGGACCCTGCCTACTACAGTCATGTTTCAGTCAACGACGAATCCATATTCAACAGCAATTCCATAAGATTACAATGGGGCTGAACAATGCCTACCGCCTGGTGACATCGCGTAGCCCTTGTAATTACACAAATGCCATTGTTACAGCTGCCTCCAGGATTCAGTGCAGCAACATGCTGGACAGGTTTGTAGCCTAGGAGAAGGGGAAGAGTCTGTCACCCCCACATATGTCTATGGGAGAAGCTCTGAAAACCGAAATTACCCTTTCTTTGTAAAATACATTTACATGAGTAAGGGATCTCCAGTTGTACCAGGAAGAAAGGAAGACCTTACCTCTAGAAACTCTTATCAGTGCGGAAGGCCTACATCTGCATAGCAACCTTACCCTTGTTTACTGCGCTTCTCCTGGTCACCTCCCAGAACTGACTCCCCCAACATCTCCCACCCTCATCATCTTCTTTTGTCTTCAGCTGATGATGGTATTGAAGGTGGTGGCT